CCCATGGCTCAGTATCTAGCCTGCTCAGTGCATGCACTTGACAGCTAACAAACGCCTTGACTATTTATACACAGACACTAATTGCAATTTAAAATGCCACAGGGCTTGGCAAGAGCTCTGTTTCCACTTCCTGTGCCTGACTGTGGTCTCCACCCTGTAACACAAGAATCCTTCCATGTAGATAAAGTCAGCAACCAGGTGAGGAGGAATACAATGTATTTGTTTTGTCCAAGGAGTACACATGTTCCAAACAGAACAAACACAGTGTTGGCTCTGTTTGGAACATGTGTACTAATTGGACGAAATAAAGAGAAATTGTATTCATCCTCACCTGGTTGCCGACTTTATCTACAGAATTACCTTTAGTGCCCGGTCATACCGGGTGCGACTTGCCATGTGATGCGAGTTTCAAAATGCATGGAGGGTTGCACCCTATTGTCCACAATTAAAGCTGTCATATTGGTGCGGTTCCAACTTGGTCAGAGTCACACAGATTTTGAAAGTAGTGCATGCACTATTTCAAGTGTGACTTGCATAGACATCTGTGTTTTGCAAGTCGCACCTGAAGTCAGAATGACATCCGACTTTGAAATCGTTCGCCTTCACTGGAGGTCGCACGATTTCAAAGTTGTATCAGTGTGACTGGGGACTTAATTGCCACCTGTGTGTGTCTCCAAGTGTCTGTACCAAGGCCAAACATTCCAAGTTATGTCAACTTTTGATCAGGGTCATTTGGGTGATTTCTGTTATGATTTAAAAAGGAGCCAAACAACTATGTGATAATAAATGGCTTAATTTCATCACTAACCTTATCCAGTTACGCGCTGCCCTATAGCAGAAATACTGCTACAGGGCGGCACGGGTGATTTTATACTTGATTTTGCAGCTCTGGGTAGGGGGCGAGCGTGCCCTACCCTCGCCACCATTCGCCGCCTTGGCTGTCAATCGCTGGGTCCCGGCCGGTGATTGCCGAGTATCTCCGACAGGGGAGAGACCTGTATGTAAACAATACAGATCTACAACACTGCCACCTCCCCCTCTCTGTCGGGGTCCCCAGAGGCTCTGTCCTCGGGCCCCTCCTCTTCTCCATCTATACCTCCTCCCTTGGCAAACTTATTCACTCCCACGGCTTCAATTACCACCTCTATGCCGACGACACCCAAATTTTACCTCTCCACCCCCCACCTCACCCCCTCACTCTCTGCCCGCATCGCCCACCTCCTAAACGACATATCAGACTGGATGTCGCTCCATTTCCTCAAACTTAACCTATCCAAAACCGAGCTCCTGGTCTTCCCCCCACCCCGTGCCCCCCCCCCATCCTCTCCATCACTACTAACAACGCCACCATCTCAAGAAATACAAAATATAAATAAAATAAAAAATCCAAAAATTCCCCAAATCCAAAATGTCCAATAATAAGTCCAAAGATAAATCCAAAAATAAGTCCAAAAACAGTGTCCAAAATTCCAATCTTTTTCCTCCAAATACGAACGTTGACCTCTAATTCATCCAAAAACGTACCTCAAAAAAATATAAATATAATCTAGTGCAATTCAATTAATTGAAAGAAATCACCCCGTGCAACTTCACACTTCACTTCAAAATATTTGTGAAAAAGAGAGAGAAAAAAAAAAATAAAAAAAAAAAAAATATATATATATATATAATATATATATATATATATATATATATAATTAAATTATTCCAATCTTAATTAATTTTTTTATATAGTGCATTTAAACACATCAATCCAAAGTGTACACACTCTGTGATCACTGCAATGTGTACACTTTAGATTGATGTGTTTAAATGCACTATATAAAAAAATTAATTAAGATTGGAATAATTTAATTATATATATATATTTTTCTTTATATTTTGTATTTCTTGGTATATATTTATGATTTTTAATTTATTTTGGGAATTTATCATATCACAAAAAGGTTTTATATATATTTTTCTACACTTTCTAGGGTGGAAGGTATTAACTTTTTGAGGGTATAAAAAGGAGGGTACACATTTAATTAGTTAAAACACCACCATCTCTCCCACCCCCACATGCCAAAGTCCTGGGTGTCACCCTGGACTCCCACCTCTCCTTCCTACCCCACATCCAACTGCTATCTAGATCTTGCAGGCTCCACCTCCGCAACATCTCCAAGATACGCACATTCCTCACCCCAGACACCACCAAACAACTCGTACACTCCCTCATCATCTCACGCCTGGACTATTACCCAAATACTACCCTACCCGTGCCCTCCGCTCCTCACAGGACCTCCTACTCTCCAGCTCCCTGGTCTCCTCCTCCTACGCCCGATTGCAGGACTTCTCCGGGACTTCCCCCGTCCTCTGGAACTCCCTACCCCAATCCATCAGACTGTCACCTACCCTCCTCACCTTCAGGCACACCCTGAAAACCCTCTTCTTCAGGGAAGCCTACCCCAACCTCACCTAACACCCGACCTCACCTAACAACTAACCTCCTCCACTCCTCCCACCACTCCATCCCCCACAGCCATCTCCTCCTGTACCACCTTCCCCTCCCTCCTAGATTGTAAGCTCGAAAGAGCAGGGCCCTCGAACCCCTCGTGTATTGTATTGTTACTGTCTTGTTACTGTCTTGTCTCATGTTCTGTCCCCCTTGCTACTGTACAGCGCTGAGCATCTTTGGCGCTATATAAATACTGTATAATAATATAATAATAATAATAGAGATCTCTTCCCTGTCGGCTCCTGCACAGTGCTTTGTATGGCACTTGCATAGCACAGCACTGCACAGTGAAGCGAACACACAGCCCAAGTGTTGAAACGGCACACAGTTAACCCTTTGATCGCCCCAGATGTTAACTCCTTCATGCCCAGTGCCATTAGTACAATGTCAGTCAGTGTTTTTTTATTAGCACTGATCACTGTATTGGTGTCACTGGAGATGTCAGTGACACCAAGTCAGTTCCCCCCAGTGTCAGAATGCCCACCGCAGTCCCGCTATAAGTCGCTGATCGCCGCCATTACTAGTAGAAAAAAAAATTCCAATATATACCGCCATTTGTAAACGCTATAACGTTCACGTGAACCAGTTAATTTACTCATATTGGGATTTTTTTTTTAGCAAACACATGTAGCAGAATACATTTTGACCTAAATTTATGACGACATTTGATTTTTAAAATTTTTTTTACTGGACATATTTATTAGCAGTCAAAAATATTGTTTCTCAAAATTGTCTTTTTTTTATTTATAGCGCAAAAAATAAAAAACACAGGCGAGCAAATACCACCGAAAGAAAGCTCTATTTGTGGGAAAAAAGGACGTAAATTTAATTTGGGTGCAGCTTTGCATGGCCGCGCAATTGTCAGTTAAAGTAACACAGAGCCGTATCCCAAAAATTGGCCTGGTCAGGAAGGGGGGTAAATACTCTGGAGGACAGTTTCTCTTACATTTATTGATGGACAGAGACGCCTCCTTCTTTATTCATGACCAAATACGGTTTTAAAGCCCCACCTACAGGAGTAGGACACTAGGCAGAAAAAAACACGGCACCTCCTATGGGCAGTCCTCTCTGGGTATAAAACACCCTCTCTGCTATAGGCCTCCAGTCATTCTGCCTAGGGTCAGGAGTATGACATGTTTTGTTTTGTTTGTTTTTTTTACATGCTGGGACTTGTGGTCCTACAGCTTTCTTATATTTTTTTTCTTATTCTTTTTTTCTGGGATTTTTTCCTGTGGAGATCTTCTATCAACAGTCGGGCTGGTGATGGGCTGGATGATCTAGATCCAGTGGTCACCCCAGTCTGACAAAAGAGCTGGTTGGTCCTCCAGCTCTGCTTTTGGCTGGCCATGACTATGCCCCACCCTGGAACGGGGTGGCCAGTGAGTTAAATGCCTCACGGTGACACCTATGACCAGGTGTCTGACCGCCCCCCCCCACTTCAGTAGAGAGGAAGGTCTGTCATGAGAGCTTCACCCGCACTCTCCAGCTGGATCGGTAAGTACAATTACCCCCTCCATCCCTGGACACTGTAGGGCATGCCCACAAGGGGACACGTCATTGGCGGGGGATGACACTCCTCCCCTGTCTCTAAGCAACACTACCTTCAGGGATGAGCGTCCCACCTGCCTCTTTGTTTATAATATGCAACGCTGATGGCCGCTCTCACTGCATCATTGTTTATGGATTAAATGATAATGTTACCACTATATATTCCCTCTGAAAAGCCTGATATATGTATCTAATTTCTGCTTTGCAGTATATTCGAGAAGGTCTTGAACAGTTTGTTAGTTTACAAAGGTCTATGTATATGGCGCAGAAATGTGACGTCAAGGGGCAGGGCTTGGCTCATTTTCTGTTCACTGATTGGTGGATGGTTCTATAAATAGTTTCTTTGTTATAACGCACTTTATTCCTTGCCTGATGAAGGTGTCCTGCGAGGCTCCGAAATGTTGCTCTTGCTGTAACTATGTGATCGCTTAACCTGGCGGTATGATTATTTCAGATTTTTGGTGCTGAAAGCGGTACCATTATTTTGCATGGAAATTTGGCGTTTTATATTGTAGGCCTGTAATTCTTAGGAATAACTCACTGAAATCTGTCCGAACTAGAGTCTAGTAAACATCCCGGGTAGGATAAAACTTGAAACACAAAATCATAAATTATAATTTAATAAATAATCATAAAAAATAATAATATAATAATAAATTTAATTCAATAATATAATTAAACTAAAAACACTGAAATTTGAAATATAGCGCCAAGTTCGCACATCACTGAGCAAAGTCGCAAAATCGTTTTCAGTGTCTGATGACGAATTTCCCCACGAATCATTATCACTCAATTCTGCAAGTAGTTCTAATTTACTATCGCTGTTCTCTAGCTGGTCTAAAACCACTGTTGACCTAAAGGGATGCTTTTTGGACGCCATGGACATTTCTCAGTTTCCAGGTAGAAAGAACAGTAAAAATGCAGGCAGAGCACAGGACAAAGCACTAGGGACAAAATGTATGTGAAATGGTTTGGTACAGTAATGTTTTACTATGTGATTTTAGTGATTTTTGTGAATGTCACTTTTTGTCATTTTCAAATTTCCCGCCGTTCCGTCCCCCGTACGTCCCGACGCTCGCAGAGGACGGAACCCAGATGACAGATGCCGGCATCCGCTGGATTACATTGCCCCAGGGACATCACGGGAGCGCAGGACAAGGTAAGTGACCGAGGGATCGCGGAGCAGCACCGTATGGTAAGCCCGAGTGTAGCTCGGGGGTTACCGCTTGTGGTACTGAAACTTTACCCCGAGCTACACTCGGGAATACCGCCAGGGAGCTTTGGACCCACATTGGAGATCCACAGTGTGCTGGTGACATTCTTTTCCTCTGACTGTTCTCTGTTCCAGCTGATGGTTGCTTCAGCACCTGCCGACACACAGCCATCACTAAACGCAGGAACATGTGCGTTGGAATTGTGCATTCTACTTCCGTCCCTGTAGACCCACTGTTGGTCATCCTGGAGTCGTTTGTCTCCCAAGTGGATGCCGCTTTTGGATGCAGGGCTAGTAGGAAGTGACCTCCCGCATCCTTGGACAATTCTGAGCCCTAGTCTGGTCCTGCCACTACCAGTTCCATGATCGCTGCGGACGCAGATTGTTTTCCCTGGTTCCTCGGATGAGCAAAAGGCTTTAGTTGCCGCTCTCATTGATTCTGTGCGGGAGGTGTTAAAGACTGGGGATTCCACAGGAGCGTCTGATGTGGTACCTGTCCCTTTTGGTACCTACAAACCAGCTCTGGCTCCTAATTTTTTCCTTATCCCTCCTATTTTGACAAATTTGTCAATAAAGACCCGCCCAAAACGTCCGTTTGTTCTTCCTGAATGCTTTGCGGTACATTATCCCTGAAGAAGTGGACCTCTCCTCTTGTGATGAACCCTCCTATATCCTGGCTGAACAAGGCTACGGAAATACCGGTGGAGGAATCTCCCTCCTTTAAGGACCCTGTAGATCACAAGGCGAAGGCAGTGGCACCCTCTCCATGTTCACCATCTAAGTAGTCTACACTCCATCCTGTCCTGGCCATGGTCCTGGTATCCCAGACCCTGACCGAATGGGCAAACTTTCTCCAACAAGCCTTAACCTTCTAGCCAGATGTGGAGCTGGCAGACAAGTTGATCCAGATACTAAAGTACATTTGTGACGCAGCCCCACTCCTTTCCATACATTTTGTTTCAGCAGTAGTGCTGCTGCGCGTCCTGTGGCTCATGTGTTGGTCGGCTGACCAGACCCCCAAAAAGGCTTTGGCAGACTTGCCCTTCCAGGGAGACCAGCTGTTTTGGGCTACGCTGGACAATATTATCAAGAACCTTATGAGTGGCAGGAGTACCTTTCTGCCTCAGTCCAAGAAGGGAAAAGAAGCATGTAGGACTACAGGACTTCATGACGCATAAGCAGATTTTTCATTCCCCTGGGTCCGCAAAGGTCTCCAAACCCTTGAAGATCCTCAGGCAATCCGGTTGTTCCTGACGCATTGGACCTATCACCTTTGTTGTCTGCCAATCCAGATCCAGTCGGACAACAGCACCGCCGTGGCTTGTGTTGGTTATCAGGGGAGCATAAGAAGTGCAGCAGCGGTGCTGAAGGTATCTCACAACCTGGGATGGGTGAAAAGGTTCATTCCGGCTCTTTCTGCTGTGCGTATTTCTGGGGCTGAAAACTGGCAAGCAGATTATCTCAACTGTGAAAAGCTGGATTAGGGTGACTGGTCCCTGCACCCAGAGGTGTTCCATCAGCACTGCCTTCGCTGGGAGACACTGGACATGGGTCTTCTGTCATCTTGTCTCAACCAAAGGGTCCCAAGATTCATGGCAAGATTGCTGAATCCTCTGGCACATCCGCTAGTGGCGCCATGGGATCCTTATAGTCTCATCTTTTCCTTTCTGCCCCTCTGATTAGTTCTTTGTCTAATAAGCAGGATGTCGGTTATTCTGGTGGCTTTGGACTGACCTCACTGTTTGTGGTATGCTGGCGTGGTGTGGTTGATAGCAGGCACTCTGTCAGGGCTCCGGGGTGTGACCAGAGGTATGTGACTGACGCAGGGAAACGCAGGCTTCAGATAAGTTATAAACAATATAATTTATTAAAGACTAACAATACAAACATAAACGCAGTGCAATACTAAAACATAACACAGTGCAAACGAACCAAACCACCCACAGATTACAGTACATACAATGCAAGCGTCGTCAGGCAGGCCGGGTCAATAACAATCGGGCAGGTAGGTACAGGGGGTCAGGCAGAGAATGGTCTGGGTCACAAGCCAGGGATGAAACAGGAGAAGTCAGCAGAGGTCCGGATCAGGCAGGGTCAGCAACAAATCAGTCAGACAGGAACAGGGACAGGAACAGGGATGCAGGAACAAGATACAGGGCCCAGGAAAAACACGCACCAAGGCAGAGACTGCAGGTCTGGCCATCCCTTAAATACACCTGCATGATCAACTTCAGGTGTTTGGCTGGCTGCAGGGTTGAGTCTCTGATTGCCGGGAGCACCCGCTGGCCAGCCCTGGTACTGCAGCCCATAAGGCAGGTGGGTCCCACCATTACTGGCAAGTCCATTCCTGACAGTACCCCCCCCTCAAGGAGCGGCCTCAGGACGCTCCAAACAGTCCTAGCTGGGCAAAATGTTCCACCGCCCGGGTCTGGTAACTGGCGGGATATCAAAGACTGGCACAGCGGGCAGGACTCCGGGCAGCGGCACACCGGGCAGGACTCCGGGCAGCGGCACACCCGGCAGGACTTTGGGCAGCGGCACACCGGGCAGGACTTTGGGCAGCGGCACACCGGGCAGTACTCCGGGCAGCGGCACACCGGGCAGAGGCACATCGAGCAGGACTCCGGGCAGCGGCACACCGGGCAGGACTCCGGGCAGCGGCACACCGGGCAGGACTCCGGGCAGCGGCACATCGGGCAGAGGCACATCGAGCTGGACTCCGGGCAGCGGCACACCGGGCAGGACTCCGGGCAGCGGCACACCGGGCAGGAATCCGGGCAGCGGCACACCGGGCAGGACTCCGGGCAGCGGCACACCGGGCAGAGGCACATCGAGCTGGACTCCGGGCAGAGGCACATCGGGCTGGACTCCGGGCAGAGGCACATCGGGCTGGACTCCGGGCAGAGGCACATCGGGCTTTACTCCGGGCAGAGGCACATCGGGCTGGACTCCGGGCAGAGGCACATCGGGCTGGACTCCGGGCAGAGGCACATCGGGCTGGACTCCGGGCAGAGGCACATCGGGCTGGACTCCGGGCAGAGGCACATCAGGCTGGACTCCGGGCAGAGGCACATCGGGCTGGACTCCGGGCAGAGGCACATCGGGCAGGACTCCGGGCAGAGGCACATCGAGCTGGACACCGGATCACCAGGCGGAGCAGCAGAAACCGGGCCACCAGGCGGAGCAGCAGGCACCGGGCCCCCAGGCGGGGCGACAGGCACCGGGCCCCCAGGAGGGGCGACAGGCACCGGGCCCCCAGGAGGGGCGACAGGCACCGGGCCCCCAGGCGGGGCGCTGGGCCCCCAGGTGGAGCTGCGGGCGACGGGCCCCCAGGCGGAGCAACGGGGGCCGGGCCCCCAGGCGGAGCAACGGGTGCCGGGCCCCCAGGCGGATCGCCGGGCCCCCAGGCGGGGCGACGGGCGTCGGGCCCCGAGGCGGGGCAACGGGCGTCGGGCCCCCAGGCGGAGCGGCGGGCGCCGGGCCCTCAGGCGGAGCAGCAGGCGCCGGGCCCCCAGGCGGAGCGGCGGCCACCGGGTCATCAGGCACGACAACGGGCATCGGGTCACCAGGCATCAGATCATTTGGCTCGCCAGTGGGCACCGAGTCAGCAGGCACGACAGTGGGTTCCGAGTCAACTGGCATGACCACGGGCACTGGGTCAGACATTGGATCGTCTGGCTCGACAGCGGGCATCGTGTCACCAGGCATCAGGTCATTTGGCTCGACAGCGGGCACCGCGTCATCTGGCAAGGCAGTGGGCACCGAGTCACCAGGCACGACAGTGGGCTCTGAGTCAATTGGCACGACAGCGGGCACTGGGTCATCAGGTACCGGATCGTCTGGATCGACAGCGGGTACCGGGTCATCTGGCGTTGGATCGTCTGGCTCGACAGCAGGCATCGGGTCACCAGGTATGACAGCGGGCACTGGGTCACCAGGCATCACAGCGGGCACTGGGTCATCAGGCATTGGATCGTCTGGCTCGACAGCGGGCATCGGGTCACCAGGTATGACAGTGGGCTCCGAGTCACCAGGCATGACCGCGGGCACTGGGTCAGACATTGGATCGTCTGGCTCGACAGCGGGCATCGGGTCACCAGGCATGACAGCGGGCACTGGGTCATCAGGCATTGGATCGTCTGGCTCGACAGTGGGCACGGGGTCATCAGGCGTGATAGGATCATCAAGCTGGATCAGTTCATCAGGCTGGGTACAGGCATCAGGCTGGATACAGGCATCAGGCTGAAGTGCGGGTGCCGAGGCACCAGGCTGAACCACGGAAGGCAGGTTCTCCGGTTTGGATACTGGCAGGATGGTACTGGTTGGAAAGAATTTCCGCTTTTTTCTGGTTTTAACTACTGGGGCACTGCAAGTAAACGCAGGTCTGCAAACGAATGGAGCAGCTGAGGACAGAGAAGAGCTGGAAGATGGAACAGAGGAGGGAGCAGTTGCTACAGAGGACTTCTTTACAGGGTTAAAGAAAGGATAGGTGCAGCGAGTGGGAGCAGAGGACTGGTATGTGGTAGTTAGAGTATACTGGGCAGTCACTGGGGGTGCTGTCGGGGATGCAGGAAGAGTGCCTTGAGCGGAGGAATGATGTTGTAAGCTGACTGAGGCTGGGTGCAACAAGTCTGACCATGTCTGCAGTATGGGTTGAACAAAGCTCAGTTTACACAAAATGTTTAAACAAAAAAACTTATTCCTGCACCAAAACTTTCCAAATAACACTCTAAAAATGCTGCTGTGCCAATCGTGAAAACACAAACAATATAAATATAAATAAACAGCGCAAATTTAGATAATTAATCAATATAAGTGCATAAATTATTCGTGTTTCCCCTTAATAATAAACAAAAACACCCAAAAGTCCATGTGCTGAAGACATAATTAAATTGTAGAAGTGAAAAAATAAAAAAATGAAAGTGCCAACTTCTTTTCTTCAAAAAATATTTTCACCTTCCACCAGTGCACACACCAACATTGAATACACTCACCAGAACTTGGTGAGTAAAAGACCTTTTAAGGAATTTTAGGGATCCTAAACCCTCTTTGGTGCCACGCTAGGGAAAATCTTCACCCTCCGAATAGACTCCACCATCCAACCAAAAGAAAAAAACTCACATAGCATAATATTGTCACACCATAGTAACTTATTCCAAATAGAGATTAAGGCCACTCACATGTTAATCACTTGCTAAAGGCATGTTTATTATGTAAAACAGGCTTCAGTTCCAGCAGATATACAACCTTTTCCTTCCAGGACTCTCACATCCACAATGGAACAAGGCCAAAACTCCTCTTAGACCAAACAATGAACCAAGATGGCCGCTGGAACGCACCGCTCCGCGTGCGTTCCACTCACCGGAAATGACGTCAGGCGCATAGAGTGTGGACCGGAAATGCGTCAACGCGTTTCGCCCCTCCCATAGGGCGTTATCAAGACACCCATCTCCCGTCCTCACTCACTTAAATATCAATGTAATGCCCTCCCCTCCAATTTAATTGGTCAGACCACCTCCCAGGATAATTACAGAGGCTGCTCCTCCCACTATAAGACGTGAGAGACCTTTACAAGATGCCAATCCACATAACAACAACATGAATTTTAACAATTGATGTAAACAATTCAAATAAAAACAATATCTTTATAATTTAATATAATTCATATTAACAAATGTGTATCTATCTAAAAACAGATTACAAAATCAAATGAAATAAATTAAAATAAAATAAAAATAAAAATAAAAATAAAAATAAAAATAATAAAAAATAATAATAAATAAATAAAAAAAAAAAAAAATAAAAAAATGAAAATAAAATCAAAATGAAAATAAAAATGAAAATAAAAAATAAAAATAAAAATAAAAATAAAAATAAAAAATAAATATAAATACATAAAATAAAATAAAAAATAAAAAATAGTCTTTAAACACTAAATCCTCTACTCTTACCAATCTGACAGGAAACAGTTGATCTCTATATCTGAGTTCAACCCCCTGGGCAACAAAGACCCCAATTTTAGGATCCATCTCGTTTCATTCTGTGAGATGGACTTGACCCTATCTCCTCCCCTCCAAGGTGCTGAAACTCGATCGATCCCACAGAATTTCAAACAAGATGGATCCCTATTGTGATAAATTCTAAAATGGTGGGAAAGACTATGATACTTATAACCTTTTTTAATATTTCTAATATGTTCCCCTAGTCTCACTGACAATTTTCTAGATGTTCTCCCTACGTATAGAAGATGACATGGATATTCTAACAAATAGGTGACAAACGAGCTATCACATGATATAAAGTTTTTTATCTTGTAAGAGGAACCATTTGAACAAGAATGAAACGTATCATACCTTCTGATATTATCTCCTTTCATTGTTTTGCATGCCAAACATCTTTTACATTTAAAAAACCCCACACTATCAAGAAAAGTCGCCTTTTTCTTTGGAATATCTGGAACTTTTTTAGCTAATTTTAATCTAAGTGTGGGTAGTTTTCTATAAACAAATGAAGGTTTCTTAGGTAATAGGTCATGAAGAACCTCATCCCTTTTTAAAACCTGCCAATGTTTTCGCATTATATTTTCAAAAGCCTTATGCTGATTAGAATACCCCGTTATAAAGGATAGTTCCCCTCTTCTATTTTCCTTCTTAATTTTATTTAACAAATCTTCTCTTCTGATTTTATTTACCTCATTAACTGCACCTGTTAATATCTCCTCTTTATAACCTTTCTCTCTAAATCTCTCTAACAGAGTATCTGCTTGCTTATGAAAGATCTCCTTATCATCACAATTGCGCTTCAGTCTTATCAATTGGCTTTTAGGGATGGATCTTAGCCAATTCCTGTGGTGGCAACTATGTGTGGGGATATATGCATTTCTATCGACTTCTTTGAAATGAGTCTTGGTATAAAACGAAACTCCTTGTTTGTAAATAGTTAAGTCCAAGAAGTTAATTGCTTCTGTACTAATATAGTTTGTAAAGGATATATTATAAGGATTACACCCCATTTCATGAATATAATCTTCTAGTTCCTCCTTAGTACCCTTCCAGATTATCACTATATCGTCTATAAATCTTTTATAAAGCAATAACTTATGATTCTTCTTTTCAAAGATTGCTTTATCTTCCCACATACTCATAAAAAGATTCGCTACTGATGGAGCGTACTTCGCTCCCATTGCCACCCCCATACATTGTCTATAATAACTGTTCAAATGCAAAAAATAGTTATTCGACATTGCTAAATCCAAACATTCAAGAAGATATTTAATTTGTTCAGCTTTTAACCCTGATTTTTCCTTTAAGGACCATTTTACTGCTCTCAAAGCATCAGCATGTCTAATATTTGTATATAATGCATTAACATCTACACTTGCCATGACACAATTACCTTCCATTCCTACTTGTTTTAAAACTGAAATTAAATCACCACTATCTTTCAAATACGATGGAAAGACCGAGACTATAGGCTGTAGGAATTTATCCACATACTCCCCCCAGCCTAGAAAAAAGCGAATCAATCCCATTTATTATGGGTCTTCCCGGTGGTTTCATTAAATTCTTATGAATCTTAGGCAATTGGTATATGACTGGAGTAACAGGTGCTTTCGGTACTAAATATTTTGCCTCTCTCTTATTCAAAAAACCTTCTTTTTCACCTTTTTTCACTAATTTCACAAGTTTGTTTTTATAGCTTTTTAAAGGGTTACCCTTAAGTAATTCATAAGTACTCCTATCATCCACCAATCTATTAAGTTCCTCATAGTAATCCTTTTTATTCAATACTACAACACCTCCCCCTTTGCCTGCTGCTCTTATTACAATATGATTATTTTTCTCTAGTTGCTGAATACCTCTTACTAAATCATGCTTAGTTCTCTTATTCGGTAGGGATAATAACTCCAAATCATGTTCCACCATCTTCTTAAATGCATCTATGCAACAATTATTCCCCACCCTAGGGTTAGCTAAAAATGTTCCAGATATTCCAAAGAAAAAGGCGACTTTTCTTGATAGTGTGGGGTTTTTTAAATGTAAAAGATGTTTGGCATGCAAAACAATGAAAGGAGATAATATCAGAAGGTATGATACGTTTCATTCTTGTTCAAATGGTTCCTCTTACAAGATAAAAAACTTTATATCATGTGATAGCTCGTTTGTCACCTATTTGTTAGAATGTCCATGTCATCTTCAATACGTAGGGAGAACATCTAGAAAATTGTCAGTGAGACTAGGGGAACATATTAGAAATATTAAAAAAGGTTATAAGTATCATAGTCTTTCCCACCATTTTAGAATTTATCACAATAGGGATCCATCTTGTTTGAAATTCTGTGGGATCGATCGAGTTTCAGCACCTTGGAGGGGAGGAGATAGGGTCAAGTCCATCTCACAGAATGAAACGAGATGGATCCTAAAATTGGGGTCTTTGTTGCCCAGGGGGTTGAACTCAGATATAGATATCAACTGTTTCCTGTCAGATTGGTAAGAGTAGAGGATTTAGTGTTTAAAGACTATTTTTTATTTTTATTTTATTTTATGTATTTATATTTATTTTTATTTTTATGTTTATTTTATTTTTATTTTCATTTTATTTTTATTTTCATTTTGATTTTATTTCATTTTATTTTTATTTTTATATTTATTTTTATTTTTATTTATTATTATTTTTTTTTTTATTTATATTTATTTTTTTTTTTTATTTTATTTTTTATTTTATTTTTAATTTATTTCATTTGATTTTGTAATCTGTTTTTAGATAGATACACATTTGTTAATATGAATTATATTAAATTATAAAGATATTGTTTTTATTTGAATTGTTTACATCAATTGTTAAAATTCATGTTGTTATGTGGATTGGCATCTTGTAAAGGTCTCTCACGTCTTATAGTGGGAGGAGCAGCCTCTGTAATTATCCTGGGAGGTGGTCTGACCCAATTAAATTGGAGGGGAGGGCATTACATTGATATTTAAGTGAGTGAGGACGGGAGATGGGTGTCTTGATAACGCCCTATGGGAGGGGCGAAACGCGTTGACGCATTTCCGGTCCACACTCTATGCGCCTGACGTCATTTCCGGTGAGTGGAACGCACGCGGAGCGGTGCGTTCCAGCGGCCATCTTGGTTCATTGTTTGGTCTAAGAGGAGTTTTGGCCTTGTTCCATTGTGGATGTGAGAGTCCTGGAAGGAAAAGGTTGTATATCTGCTGGAACTGAAGCCTGTTTTACATAATAAACATGCCTTTAGCAAGTGATTAACATGTGAGTGGCCTTAATCTCTATTTGGAATAAGTTACTATGGTGTGACAATATTATGCTATGTGAGTTTTTTTCTTTTGGTTGGATGGTGGAGTCTATTCGGAGGGTGAAGATTTTCCCTAGCGTGGCACCAAAGAGGGTTTAGGATCCCTAAAATTCCTTAAAAGGTCTTTTACTCACCAAGTTCTGGTGAGTGTATTCAATGTTGGTGTGTGCACTGGTGGAAGGTGAAAATATTTTTTGAAGAAAAGAAGTTGGCACTTTCA